TTTTTTCTACGTAAAATTGCTCGCTTAAGAGTAATTTACAGTTATGAATCGACTCGTGGAGTTTGGATTTGGGGCACAGTGTAGTGACGCACGTGTGAGACAACTACAACCCCAACGAGAAAAATAAGAGTTTTACCGACAACATAATCAAGGGTGCACCAACTATTTTAACAGCTGTACCGTATGAAATAATTTTTTTTATAAGAGTGAAGCATTTCTCGCACAGAGTTCACGTGTGTACTTGTAAATGTGTTAGATCAATGACTACCACGTTTGATTTTTTTGACTACATTGATTTTTCTCGTTTCAAAGTATAGAGTTTAATAAAATTAGTAAAGTATAGTTGGTGTAACATCGGTTTGGCTGTTCTTTAAATTCTTAACAACACCAACGCAATATATTTTGTAAAAAACGATCCAATCAATTTTTTTGACGAGAAAGAAAACAATACAATTATATACGTGTACTCACTGCGTTTGTCGCTGTGCGCCTGGAGATGGGCAGTTATCACGTCGTAGAGTCTCTCACGCCTAGCCTGCAGGTACTCCCTACGCCGTAGTTGCCGCACGAGTTGTGTGCCCGTGTGTACCACGTGCTCTCGCAACGATCGCATCAATACTCGCAGCTCACCGGTACCTGTTGAGGAGAAAAAAAAAAAAAAATTTCTAATGAATTTTATTTGCTTACACCTAAAGTTTATCTTGCTGGGCAATTGGATTGCTCCTTTTAGGTAATTGAGTTATAAGTTTTTTTCGATTCATGACAAATATTCTGCCATGGATTCCTAGAAACGGCGGAATCTGATAACAATCCGAAAATACCCGAGCTAAGTAGAACATCTCAATGTCAGGTCAGACGGAAAGGAAAACAGAACCTTTTATCACGTACAATCGGCTCAACTTCTGTTCGTTTTTTCATTTAGTCATTTCATATAAACAGAATGTAGATAAACCCATATTTACTGGTGGATGAAATATTATTGCATTAAATAGACACAAAAATTAATGTAGGTACGAAAAAAGCAATGGCACTCTGAAGTGTAAGAACTTTGATCATCAATTTGTCTTTGATAACGTGTAATAAAGTGCAACACGCATTCTTTAATGTTTTTTTTCGCCTTTATTGTAATACAAAAAATCGAAGAAAAAAAAATTCTTGCTGGTTGTGACTTTCATTTCTCAGTCAGATCGTCAAAAGAAAGACATATCCTACCCATTTTAAAATGTAACGACACAAAAAAGAAAATAAGTACAATGGGAGAGATGGCTTGTAAAAGAAGGCAGTGGTAGTATGTGGTTTTTTTTTTTTTTTTTTCAAGAAAAGAAATATTAACTGGGTAGAAGGGAAATCGTGACTTTAGTAGATACAGGCGAGTGAGACAAAGACACGCTAAAATGATTGTGAGAGCGCGTAAGTTAGGAATCGATGGAATATAAATTGATTTTGTATTAGCACTTTTTTAAAGCCTACTGTCTGCGATAGAAAAAAATAGAAACAGAAAAAATCGGTATATTTCTGCAACCTTTAGGTAACTTTTTTTTTTGCTCAGTAGCTTAACCGTACACTTGCTTATTTTTCGTGTTATTTATAGACATACAAGAAGGTGCAAAAAAAACTATTTACCCTTTGCAAAAAAAAATTCTATTCTCAGTACAAGCCGGTATTGTTCAGTACCACAGCAGAGAGAAGAGAATAAATAAAAAATACCCAGAGAGAACGAAGGAGCGCGTGCCAATTCCAGGCACCACCTCGTCAAATCTTCTCGTCTCCATTTTTTACGTGAGCCGCCAATGACTTTCTACGCGTGCCAAGCAATTTTTCCATTTCTCTCTTGCAACCCTTTTTTTCTCTTTACAACGACATGTGCACAATAGCTCCGTGTACACATCGAAACCTCGATCTCGTATGAAAAGCGCCTTTATCATGCTGCGAAGGAGTAAAATTGAAGAGATCGAAAGAAATACCTTTGTCACAACGGCAGAGTTATTTATCGGAGAAATAGAATACGGTATAAGGAGGAGATGAAGTGGGTGGTAAATAGAAAGGTATCCCAAGATCGCTGAGCCAGAGACGATGAAGAGAAGATGCTTGATGTATCAGGACGACCTCATTGACCTCAATGGAAATAAGCAAGTGGTAGAGCCAACCAAGTGCTTGTTGCTATATCTATTTTTTGACTTGATGAGCTGTACAGTGCACTTTTGCACTCAATGCCCCCGTAGTCGCCTCAGTTTGTGGCCAATTTCCAGGCAAGGGGCCTCTTTCTCTTTCGCGCTCTTATGACTTTTAAGATTTAGGGAGCCCCTTGCTTAACAATTTTTATTTTTTTTTTTCACTTTCTCTGCTCCTGCACTGATTTTTTGTACAGCCGACAAGATTTTTAAATATTTTGGACTGACGGAAGAAAAAGACCACTGATTTTTGATAAATTTTGTTTGCGTGGTTAAATATTTGTGTGATTTGAAAACAATTTTTAGACGTTAGATTTTTATGCCAATACTGTGTACTATTGATGGGGAGTTATGAAATTGTTTAAGCAAAAACAAAGAATAAATATTTTTTGCACAACTTTTGTTGCTCCAAAATTTGTTTGAAACATCAAACAGGAAAAAAATTTATTTTTATATATCGTTTCAGAGAAAATTTTAGAAAATGGAGGTTTCAAATTCATTGTATGGCTCACCACTTTTGTGTCTACAATCTGTTTGTTTTCTGATTAATTTTGCTCATGCTGTGGTCACAAATTAAAGCACAAGGCTTACAATAAATAAGGGAAAGCCGATTTCTTCAATCCGTTCGTGTGAGAATTTTTTTCTACAAAACAGATAAAAAAAATTGTTTAACTGGCTCCAAACCTCTGAATAAATAAAATAAAGAAAAAATCCCACATCTATATATTTATAAGCATTGAAAGCAACATCAATTTTGCCATGTGCTTTATTTTTTCGCAAATACCTACACAGCCGGGCAAACGTCACCGTCAATCATCCCTTTTTTTCTTATTTCGTTCTCTTTTTCACTTTTTCATTCCTTTCAGAACATACTCTGTATGCGTGAGTTTGCTTGTACTTTACATTTACGTAACAACGGCGCGTCTAACGCACTTGAAACGTGACGCAATGGCTCGCCTTGGGCGTCAAGCTCTCACATTGAAATAACAGACTTTGCGAGGCAACGGATATTGCGACGCGGCGTTTTTCTTCTTATTTAAAAAATATATTTTTCTTCTCTTATTACTCATTTTTGTCACTAGTCACTTTATTGAATCGAGTCTTACCAAGATGAGCGATGCAAATATTTATCTTACGTTTCTCTTCTTCGAGAGACATGATGATTCAATACGTACCATTTGCTACAGATGATCGTATAAATTGCTTCTGAAAATAATATAATTTTCGAATCGAGTAAATTATCACTGAGTCTACCCTTCGACAAAAAAGTGAAACGAAAATCGAATTTTTTTTTTCACTCAAGTTGACGATAATTAGCATTTTTTAATCTTATTTACCATAAAAAATAATGGTATTTCGTTATCGTAGGCAGTAATCACCCGACTAAATAAAATATCATCCCCTAAATACTAACAAGAGAAACAAAGAATCTCTTTGAACCAAAAAGATTTTTCCTCTGTCCTAGCTTCAACAAAAGTCGGCTGTGCATGATTTGTTGCATTGTTATCTAAACGAATAGCATCATCCTTACTTTTTGGCTCGAGTCGTGCTCGCTGGATCTGCGGTCTTGGCTGGTGTCTGGGGTGCCAAGAGGAGACTGTCGATTCGCTGGCCGATCTGTCGCCGTACGAGGATCCGTAGATGTCGACGAGGAGCTGGTCGACCAAGTTAGAGACGACGTCGTGCTCCTTTTCTCCAACTGGGTTTTCAGCAACCGGCGGTGGTTGACGATATTCCTGGTAAGAGTGAAATCATAGTTTTTCGTTTTAAAGTGCACTTTAATGATTTTACAGGAAAGTTTTTTGTTTTCGTGACTTTAACAGAAGCTTGGGATACTGTGCTTCGAAAAGTAGAAAATACAAACATGACTGCAGTGCTTTCATAGTGTCGTCTATCTGCACAAATTAAGACACCGTTAGAGAGGTTCAATATCTGAATCTCGATGGTAAAAATAAACGCATTATTTTTCCAAAACATGTAATAAACAGTTACGTTACTTATATATTTGACTCACACCTAAAAAACTACCGTACTCATGTAATATGTCAAAAAAATCAATTGGATTTTTGTTAAACACCAATATTTGAAAATTTTATCTGCAATCAGTAGAACAAGCCATATGCGGTCAAACCAACTTTATACGTTAATTATGATATCTGTAATAGTTTTAGTGTAAATACTTGTTGATAAAGTTTCATGTGATTAAACGTTACAAGAGAATACGATATTGGTTCAAATTTTACAAAATAAATCTAGGCATTACAACTTGTCCAGTAGAAACAGTTGGGTATGGTAAGACCTGTATTTATTTGTGTGTTGGACCTTTTCTGATAGTCTTACGGCTCAACAATGATCTACAATAATGTTGTTAATTTAATAAACAGCTGATATTTATTGATGTTGAGAGTGAGATTATTGTATATACTGGTTCAGCCAGTAGATAGAGTTTTATATGGTAAGACCGACGATTCTGATACATTTTAACCGTATCTATAGAGTTTAGAAAAAAAGGTCAGACTGATCCAAACTACATAAACGCATAAATTTTTTTTTCATTTGTTAGTTTTGAAAATAAAGTTAGTTGACAAAACTCAGTAGACTCAATTCGTTATGGTAAGACAAATGCTTGTAGACGATACGTGATCCATATATGATTTTTATAATTCAAGCACAATACTCGAATCGAAAATAAATGATATCAGAATTTAATTTAAGATTTTTTACGTAGCTATTAATTCAGTAGAAAAAGCTCAATGTGATAAGACAAAAATCACTACAATGATTTGCCGGTATCTTACTGTTATAAGAGCTCGAATAATATTTTGATGAATGAGTTACGGTATCAAATTCAGCAGAAAAAATTACCGCTTGGTATCGATAGTTAATGAAATTATTGAAGTAATAAAAATTCTCAAAATATAGTGTGTCAAAGATAATTATTCAATAGAAAGGTCCAAGATTATTTGTTAAAATGGAGAAATAATAAATTCAACTTTTTTACCATGAAGCTTAACACAACCTTGTAAAAAGCTGATGTAATAATTGTACAGACCATCGTGGGCATGGGACGCTTGCACGGCGTGACAAGTTTGAGGGAAAAGCATCGGTACAACATAACACCGTGGTCCAGGAGATTGAGTGACGACGAGGACTCCGATACGGAAGACGACGAGAGGCTCGCAGTCGCCGCGGCTGCAGCTATATTTGCCGCCCCTCGAGTCAAAAAGACAGGTACTGTTATGGTTGATGTACCACAGAATTATTTATTATAAAAAACTAAAAAAAGATTAGTTTCAAAGGATCCTCATCCTGCCGTTGGGCTAATCGTTTCATTTTGTTCAGATCGAAATTCATCCAACAACCTGCAAGCAGCAAATCCGTCTAGCGACCGTGAAAGGCTGGCTCTCGATATAAGCACGCTGAAACAACAGTACGCCAAGTTACGGGAACGCCAGCGGCAAGCTCACATTATCCTGTCGGGTAAGAAAATAATAAACAAAAGCCCGAGTCTCCAACATTAGTGACAACGGGATGCATGACCAATTTCTTCTCGTTAGCCGCGTGCGCGAGGCAATCCATGGGCCCAAGCGCGTCGACGGCCAGCCAGGCAATGAACCATCTTCTGGTGGGCAAGAGTGCCTTAGTCAGCGGCAAGAATCGGCCGACGATTCGTTCGGCTCCGACGGCTCCTCTGGCCATGCGAGCCAAGCCCATTGCCAGTCCCGTAGCTCAGAATCGCAGAGACCGACAGCAGCAGCAACAGCAAGGCGTCACCATTCATTGGAAGGACATGAAGAAGCGCAAGGACGAACGCGAGGTGGCTGAATGTGAGTTGTGTTTTTTTTTTTGTTTTTTCGACGATTGACGTAACATTTTTTTTGAAAAAGTGCTCATGAATCTATGTAGGAGTTTTTCCGATCTGAAGCTTTGTTAATAAAGTTTTTCCAAAAATCTCGGTTTTTCGATGGATTCGAGAGACTTTTTTTTAAGTAAAATCTACGTGTTTCAACGTTTCGAATCATGGTTAAGCTTGCAACTTGAATGTGCTTGTTGCCCGAGAGCCCATATCTGCAAATACCGTCGGTTGGTAAGACTACGAGCATCTTCTTACTTCTTGAGACGGGGGGAGGGGGGGTGGTATCGATTTGCACCTCGAAGCACTGCGAGGGAGAAAGTTCTTGAGCACGGGGTACAAAGACCAGCTGTTGCTCCGATGCGCGTCCACACTTATACCAGCTCGCTGGATGCGTGTTTGGATCCAAGGGTGTATTACTATTGGCGCGGCAGGTGAGTCCTTTACGAGCACGGGCGCGAGAATATGCCGCATTAACGGTACGCGTGTACAAGTTCCCGTAAGATGAAAATTAGGATGATAAATTATTGCCACCCCGTTACTATTTTTTTTGTTCAATACAATAAAATTATAATTACGATGATATTCCCTTTCCCCAACGTGTGTATATAGGTGTACTGTACTAAAATCAATTTGTCTGAGTTGTCGAGGCGACTATGACGACGCTAATGGCCTAGTTGACGTCGCCGTGCGGAATAATTGTTGTTGCGGTGCCGTCGGGTGCTCAGTTGTACAGAGTGGTGCGTCCGGTAGGAAGAAACGGGATGGGCAATTTTTCAATTATAATTTTTTTCTTTGGGGTTATTGGTGACGATTAGTTGATGCAGTTTGAATGGATTCGGTGATTTTTTCGAGTTCCCGACTGTGATCGGTGTTGCGCTGAGAACATCTGTAGTACTATTTTATTATTGACCGCTGCAATTGAAACCAAAATCAACTAAAAGATAGTATCATAAATAATTAAGTTGTGAAAAATGTAATTCAATAGATCGGTGTATTATATCCACTATTTGAGCTACAGTTTAAAGGTACTCGAGTAAAGCAGTATAAGCGTAGTTGTTTTTTAGTGTCAACTAGATTTTCCGTAACAAGAACAAATTATTTTGTTACAGCAAATCTACAAGACATTTTTGTAACGAAAACGTACGATTAAGTACAAAGATATTGTTTTATTTTACATTTTCCAAATCCACGAAAATAGCATGTCTGACTATTTTCGGCTATTACTACTTGTTTTCACACGGAGAATTTTTGCTCGAAAAACTAGATCGGCTCAGTCCTTTTTTTTTGTGATACACATATAGAAAAAAAAAAATACTGCAATGAAAAAGAGCTTCTCTTCCACGTACACAAGCAAAAACTAATTAGACATAAAGAGACTTAGATCTATACTCTTCGGCGATCGTGAAAAAAAATTCTGTCACTTTTTCTCTCTCGCGCACCCACACACCGGCTGAACAATTAATCTCAAACGAGGGTTGCTGCCTCGGTTCTTTCCTCCTCTCAAGTCCAGATGATCCGCGTGTGCAAAAATCGTCCTACTTTCCCAGATATCCACCCCCCAACCCTGTTTTTCCCGAGCCAACGCACGCGCGCTCACCCACGACATTTGGAATAAAAAAAAAGTAAAATCAAGGTTTTGAGAAAGGAAAAAAGTAAGACAGTCTATTTCTCCTTTTTTTTCTCGGAACGAAGCCAAGCAAAGCTTTAAACACACACATACGTACACAGCACCCCGGTTATCATTGCGTGAGTGCGAAAGAGAGGTGGGGTCGCGGGCCATTCACCCTACTCCCACGCTCTTCTCTATTATATCGATCTGTTTTCTGGAAAGCAGCAGCAGTGGCAACAGCAGCTGAAAGGGAGTCCGAGGTGGTGGAGGAGGTGAAGCCAGCAAGTGCCTCAGTCGAGATGAGCATGTCGACGCCAGTTGCCAGGAGGGCCTCGGGTGGAGGCGGTGGCTCCGGGCTTGACAGCGACAGCGACAGCACTTCCACGGAGCTTTGCGACGAGCCCGATCGGATGAGCGATCTGGACAGCGAGGAGATGACCTCGACCTCGGACGCTTGTCCGATTAACAATTCTGAGGAGGGGAAACATATGAGGGAAGGCTCGCCCGATGTGTTGACACAGAGCGAGCAGCAGACGACGAGTGGAATGAACAGGTGAGGGATATATACATGGGTGAGATGGATCTGTCCCATCCTCTCCCTACTTTTTCGTTCTCAGGGGAACTCCGGTTTTTGGGATCGTTAACGCGCTCGGGTGCTTTATTTTCTTGTACACTTTGACATTTTCATTTTTTTTAATCCTCGCCCTGTTACTTTTATTGGTAAATTGTTTACTGAAATGTAAAAGTTTGATACTCGTTTGGGAATAATACTTTTTTTTTGTTAAATCTATTTGTTGATTTTTAATTTCTTACATGTAAGTTTTTTTCTTCTCAATTTTACTTTTGCTGTAGTTATTGTTTTCTCTAAAAGTCTTTTTTTTAATCATATATCCTTAAAGAACAATTAAAATCTAAATAAAGCAAGACAGAGCGTCAATAAATTTCAACTTGATTAACTTCGAGAATGTCATTTTTGATAAATTTTTCCAGTTTTGATTTAGAATTGATCAAGATCAACTTGAAAGATAATTGACGATTGTAAGTGATAATTCCTTTAATCATGATACTTAGATAGAACTAAAAATTGTTATTTTAACACGTTCAGTTAAACAGAATTTTTAGATGTTGATTTTTCGTGTTAGCTTGGAAATGATTTTTTTGCAATCAATAAAGAAAAGGTATAATCGATAAAGCTTTGTGTGTTGCCATGACGCCACTGAACGTTTTAAAAATACTTAAGTAAATTAAGTGTGAGGTAAGGAAAACAAAATAGAGATTTTTTTTTTTAAAGTAGTTTACACTTAAATATGTCGAATCAGTAGTATTAGCTTATCAAGTCGATGTACGAAAAATTAATTTTTAGAAATTGTCGTAGTTAATTATTTGAAATGGAAAGACACCGTTGAATAAAAAAAAGATACAATACAGGAATTGCGCTGTGTAGTAGAAAATTATTTTGTGTTGCGTGTTAGATGGTTTGGTGCTTGTTATTACGTAAGCAGTCTCGTTTGGTGTTCGTTTGCTTTTATGAGCGAGTTGTTGTTTTTCTCAATCATCGTTTTGAAAGCAACACCGTTGAACGTTGTAATTTTTGGTCCATCAGTATCACTATTGGCATCTAATTTTTCATAGTTAAGCTAAATAATAGTTACGAATCTTCATCAGTAAAATCATCATGTGCTGTAAAAACAAGCCGTTCGCAAACTTAGAATTCAGTAACCCAAGTCCAATTAAAATAACCGTCTAATATTTGACAACTCATTTATTTTAGCGAGTACTCAGAAGTCTCCAAGGAAGAAACGTCAATCGCCGAAATCACGGACCAGATAAGGAGGCTGTCAGCAGATGATGCGGACCTCAAAACGTCTCTCAACGATGACCAACACGTCGATGAACACAACTTGTCGATCCTTGAATTCTCAAGCAATGACTACACGATTGCAAAGGAACGCTTGTCGATATCAAACTCCTACGATGAAAAAGGGTCGTCGTACATCTCATCAAACTTTGAACCAATGTTCAGCGAGGAAAAAAAGTACGAATACACCGATGACGTAATTCAGAGTGATGCATACCAAACCCTCGAGGCACGAACTAAAGACACGTGTAGTATCGTTGCTCCGAAAGTAATAGACTCAATTTTGGCTTTGGACTACGATTTTTTGGAGTGTAAATTATTGAGTGACAAATCCGACTCAGTGACGGAGTTAAATAGTGGTTGTGCGGTTCAAAAGTGCGAAATCATCGGATCGGTAGTTCCTAATACAGTAGAAGTCGAGAAGAAGGAAGAAAATGAGGCCAATGGTAGTTCCAATATCACGTATCCTACAAAGTCATCCTACGTGATAGGACACCAGCCCATTGTTCCAACGTGCTTTGAGGCAAGAAGGCCTGGCAGAATTTCACCCAAAGTTTTCACCTCGAGGGATGAGGCCAGGAATGACCTACTCGAGAGAAATTCTTTTGAAGACAATCCAGAGGCTTCCATTCTCGGATCCGAAACTAAGTATATTGGCTACAAGGTTCGTGTGGATTAAAATGTACATACGAAACTTGAGAGCTTAATTTGTATGCAATGCACTTGAAAACTGAATAAATCATGCGTTCTATTGTCGTGGAAACTAAATAATGCACAATAAAGAGCTATACTTTGAATGATCAATCGGAATTTTTGGTTTAAATATTTAAATGTTACTAGCATGCACGTCAAGTTAATTCAAGCATCGCAAAAACATCAAAGTATTGATATCCAATGAATTAATATTTCAGTTCGACGTGAAGCCGAGTCCTAAAACTCCTGAAAGCTTCAAATCCTTTGATTCTGGGGAGACCATGGGTCCAGACTCGGTGACCTCGAGTGTTGTCGTCACCCCCTTGCATTCGGATTTACGGGGTATTTTTCTGGCCGATAAGTCTGTCGCTTCATCCGTCAGTTCGGACTCAAAGACCTTGACGATGCGGTCTATCGAATCTGACGTAGCGATGAAGAATCAAGTTGAGACTCCAGGTGACAAGTCTGTCACGCCATTGACGGATTCATTAATGCAAGCCAAGTCAGTCGAACCAGCCTGTAGCTCGACTGAATCTTTCTGCAGTCCGTCGAAACCTAAATCAGAAAAATCCTTTAGCTCTGATCTTCAGTCACCCATCAGTGCCAATTCAATCAAGTTCACGCCAGGTTACACCTATAAGAACAATGGAATCGATTTGCAGAAACCATCAACGGGTATTGTACCTTTCTTTACCCCATGTTTTATTTAATGGCTCGGTAATTTTTTTGTTCTTATTCATTTTAGAAATCGGTGCCGTTACTTCACCATTCTATCCAATATCAAACCCCAATAAGAAAACTCCATCGCCCTATAGTGAAGACAAAAGTAAAACGAGCAAAGACAGTGCGTACTCGAGAAAATTTCGGGAAATTAATGAAGATCAGGGTACAAAGAATTACCTGGAAACTAAGCCTCTCACGCTAGCTTTTGATGTTGAGTCGAAAATTTCTACGCAAGCATTCGATGTTCCTCAGTTAACAACTACCGATGATAATGATTTCAGCACATCGATAGATGATGAAACGTTTAAAAATTTGCCGACTCAGTTGTATTCATATATCGATCATAACGTGAAATCTAAGGATACTAAACTTCCCGAAAAAGATATTGGACGTACTTCAGGTAAATCATAGATTTCATATTATTTAATTAGGAACTTTCAACAATACATACATAGTATACAATGAACGTATCAGTTTAAAATTTGTTTGATTTTTTTTTTTTTTTTTTCATTATCAATTTTAGCATTTGAACCTTATCGCAAAAGCAAGTACGAGGATGAGCTTCAGGAAACTGACACACTTTCACCTCTTCCACGCAATCAATGCAATGAGTATCATAGCGACATCTTTGAACGAACTCGTGGCAGGTCATTGGATGGTAAACTGGAAACCCTAGAAATATCAGGTAAATCATGTGAACGCAGCAGTAGTAGCTTAGAGAAACGTTTCCCAGAAATGCTACTGTCTCCGTCAATGGAAGATTTTGCTAATAGCGTGAAGAAGCGATCTAGTGATGTTTTGGAGGATTTGCGACACTTGGAATCGAAATCGACTGAAGATGGAGAGTTGAATCCAAATATGTTAACGAGAAAGACAAGTTTCATCTGGGAAGATTTAAAGAGCCTCGAAGCACGTAGGCAAGACACTTTCAGCGATTCAGCCAAAGAATTTTCTAGACAAAGAATTGAAATACCTGGTATCAGTATTTCTATGAAAGGGCGTAAAACATACGTTGTGGAGCCAAAGATCAATATCGATGAAAATAGCGATAGCATTTTAAAGTCAGTCACGTATAAAAACTCTAATGGACATAACTACGACGTTGACGATGACAGGGAGTCCAAGTTGGGAGTTTGGACAAAGGTTAAGCCACGTAAAAGAAATGATAATGGGCGTAGAAGTAGCGATAGGGCTTTGAAAATTATTCAAGAAAATTCGGTAATACTTCAAAAGATTTTAACTTGTCAAGCCAGAAAAAGGTTGCCAGATTTAGAAGAAATATCAAAAGAAATTACTATTAGCCCTATCAATGAGGAAATATCCAAAATTTTTAGTCCTATTCTTGAAAAAATGGGTTTAAATGAGCATGAGATTAACGAAGAATTGGCAAGGATTAACTTCAAAGACATCGATCGAAATACAACTACTACAACAGCATCAGAATTCGAGGCTAAAATCAATGATGAACTATCAAAACTTTCGTTAGTCGGAGATAACGAAGAAGTAGCTTATTTACCAGATGTAGACGATTTGTCCTCTGATTACTTTGTTGCAAGAGAAGCCTTCATCGATCGACAAATAAATGAAGAATTATCAAAGCTGCTTGTAAATTATTCGGAAGACTCTCTGATAAAACATCAAAAAATCTCGTCAAGCCTTAATGCCACTAATGATATATTCATGGGCTCAAAAAAATCTTATTCATACCAGTCGTCCAATGACTCTCTTGAGACTAAGAGTGACCTCGGATCAAACAACACGATTAACAGTACCATTTATCAGAATGAACCTATTTCATACATGACTCTTAATAATTATATGAAACCGGAAAACTTTCCAACTAAAAATGATGCTGATATTTACAGAGAATTGGAAAAATTGAATCATACATCTTACTCACAGGTTGTACCTTCTGTTGCAACAGAACTACATCGAGATATCACTTCACCATACTTGATTGATACAATAAGATCGCCAAAATCGGATTATCCTAAACAGGTTGTAGACCAACAACCAACTTACGACACATTATCACCTTTGAAAAGTCTTTACAATAGTTCTTATCCTTCTACAACATTTCAGTCTTCTTATGATTACAAATCTCGGATGTCACCTAGGAAAGTACCAGGCAACCCTTATTCAGTTCGATCTTACGATTCTACATTAAGTTTAGATACTGGTTTTGAAAATACAACTTTTGAGATGACCGCTATAAAAGCAAGTGCTCCATCTACGTTAAACTATGAGTATGGACCGACAAAACATATTTTATCTAAAGAACAATTAGAGTTTCGTCTAAAATACGATTTGGATGACGATGTGAGTGCAACTAAAAAATCATCAGCAGAAGACATTGATTTAAAACTTAGTCCATTTCAAACGGATATTGCAAAGCTTGACAAAGGAGCATCTTATTATACAGATACAAATGTCAATACTCCCACGAACAAATATTCATCCAGCAAAGATAACGGCGTATGTTTGGCCTCAAGTCTTGGAGGCAGCAATAATGACACAATTGCATACCATAGAAAATATGATGGCACTTCACCAGCGGACAAGTATTCGTCTCTTAGTAATGATTGCGATATGTTTAGACAACCTTATAAAATCACACCATTGGACCCTGAGGCTCAAGTATCTGCATACTTGTCAGAAACTTTAGTAAATAATACATCCAGTTGTCATCGAGATACTCACATCTCATCACCAAATTATCATTACGACTACGCTAAGTCAATGAGCAGCTCGTACGATACCGTGTCACCCAGTTTCGATAATTCTTCTTCAACGTCGATAAGAACAAAAATAACTTATTCTGACGTTATGCCAACGGATAATTGGAAGTATAGAAAACCAACCTTAGAAGAAAACAAAGGTGTTAAGTATGACTTTGAAAAAAGTCCAAGTCCAAAATCGTTAGGGTTTAGTCCATTTCCAATAAGAAATATTCCAAGGAAACCGAAAGAAGTTGCTGTGAAACTGGGATTGTATTCGCCAACAAATTCGACCCCATTAAAAAGATCTTAGTTTTTATTATAAGTCGTTAACTTTACAGATAAACATAAATAGCACAATATTTTAAATTCAATAACAATTAAATATTGAAACTATTTGTTACTTTTTGTAATTTGTCGAATTCAAATGTCTACTATTGTATATAATACATTATATTTAATTTAAATGTAAGTTGCGCGAAAATATACTGTTACAAGCTTAGAAATAACATTTTATTGTTAAAAATTGTGAAATATGCAATACCCTTATGGTTCCAACATATAAAAGAAAATCACAACTTTACCAAAAGAAGCTTTTGTAACATCAATGATCTGTTAATTATGGTACAATTGTAAGAGAATAAACTTATGTATGTAAATAATCGAAGGACATAGAAATGGGCCTAATATTAAAATAGATGATTATTAATGCAAATGTAAGTGTAACCTCTATGAACGTTTGCCAGATTTGTAAATGAAATAATTGCCATGAATCAGTGGGGATATCTCTTTTCTTTTAACAAGGACAAATGTGTTAAATTATAAATGCAATATGTTGTTTATGAAATGCTACGTACTTGTAAGTTTACTTTGAAACATTGTAAATAGTCGGTAGTTTTTTTGATCACGTTGTATGCCATTGATGAGTTTGAGATAAACTATCAATTAAGACGCTATTGTACAAATTTTGCTCAAAAGCGTTTGTAAAAACTTTTTAAAATCTTAATTGTAAAATAAAAGTAACTTTATTCACATATTCAGGTAGTTTTGCATTAATTTCCAACATTGGACCCCCAACGTTGATATTTTCGTTGTAAATACTTTCATTTCCACGGTTGACGGACAACCCATAACAAAGTTCCATTTTTTAATTACTTATATCTTACTGTTTCTATTGTAGGTATGGACTATGCTTACAATATCAATGGAGTATGTAAAATTATTCTTATAAAATCATGTAAAACTTTTTTTCAAGATTTAAGATGGTTTTTCATAGTTTACCTTTTCGTATTTCTTTAGCAAAATATTGTTGATATAAGTTTGGATGAAGCTAAAATAATTTTTTTTAAGGAGTACAACGTAGATAAATATAAGTGTAACTATTAATTTAAAATCAGATGTGAGGTTTTTTAAAATCATCAATTTAATTATTGTTATTCAGGTTTTTAAATGCTATTTTTTATTGATATTGTTTAAAACATGTAGTTTTAATAATGTTTGAAAATTATTTTTTAGTAATTAAATATTCTTAGCTATGAATTTACAATTTAATAAAATAAGGAATGATGCATGCAGGGATTGGAAAGTAGATACAACTTTCGTTGCGTAAGTGTAGTTTTGTAATGTTTATGTAATGTAGAATACTAAGGTTAAATAATGATAAATTTTGAGTAACTGCATAAAAATATTTTATATTATGGTTGAACTTCGTGAGTACGTCATGCATAAATACAGTACTCACGAAGTTTAACTATCGTGAGTACTGAACTGAATTTTTTTATTTTATTTTTTATTCGTTTTTCAAGTTTTTGTTTAAGTGAACTACACGAATTCAGTACTTATTTTTATAGAGCTTCGTTCTTCCTATGGGTCTGGCGACCCCCTTGTTATCTGAGAAACTGTGAGTCTTTATACTCATCTCATGTTTAAAGAACTTCGTTCATACCGTGGGTCCCATGACCCTTTTATACCCCCTGGTTTAATTTTCTTTATTTTATTTCTTTTTTCTATTTAATCTTCTTTTTGTCATTCCTTTTGTTATTTCATTTTTTTTTTTTTTTTTTTTTTCATTTTTATCTAGAGTCACTCAAACAATAAATTTTATGATTAAACATAAATAAAGGTCAATAATATATACAATTAATACAATCATCTCCTTTTATTGCGAGATGTGGGGGTATTATTACCTAACTGAAGCACTTGTTATAATTCCAATAAAAAAGAGTTTTTCCTTAAGCTACAGCCAGAGTAATAACAGTTTTATAAAAAAAAGGTCTACTCCTGAGTCACTTCTTCTGGTTGTTACATTTGCGGTACCTTTCAAAAATAGTACTTTTTAGTTTAAAATGACGGTAAAATTTTAGATGAAGTTGGGTCACATGGGTTATTGTGAGTAAAAAGAATAACTGCTTACCTCCAGTTCCTAAACCTGCAAATTGTAATATAGGGTACTTTGATCTACACTTCAAATTAAAATATAATTTAATTTGTTAATGTAATGATAATTTTTAGCTTATTTAAAGGTTTCTTTTGGGCTCATAATGTATACGAGTTTTTATACGTGTTTGTCATCTAATTTGACATCTCCTTCATCAAAATTCATTATGCAAAAAATTAAATTGATGAAAACACATGATTCACATGACTATAATACAAACTGAACTTTGTACCGTACCTTGATTATAAAACACATGAATAAAAATCATGTGATTCTTATAGTGTTATCCATCGCCTTGGTTATATAAATGCATCTATGTCTATTGCGTTATTCTCGAACTTTTTTTATTGATCTTAAAGAAGTACAGTCAGCAGGAGCAGTGATTAGTCTAGTAGACATGACTGTCAACTAAATTTTTAGAGATAATGTAAATATAAATCCATATATTAGAAAACCAAATAGTAAATAGTAGTAAATGAGAATCCAAACTCGTTATCGAGACACTTATATTTTAATATCAAACTATTAAAAGTTATAACTGTATCAAGGTTTTATAACATTAATTATGTGTTAAACTACAATACGATAGTGAGTAGGCAAGCTTATGTTTGTAGAGAATCAGATCTAAGGACATTAAAATGGCCTTGATGTTGTTGTAGAAGATTAGTGACACAGAAATAAGCGTGATGTCGAGAAATACTTATCAGATTTGTGAATAAAATAATTGCCATAAATCCGTGGAGATATCTTTTTGTTATTAGAAGGATAAATGTGTTAAATTATATATTCAACGTATGGTTTATGCAATGCCATGTGCTTGTAAGATTACATTGAAATATTGTACATAGTCGGTAGTTTTTTTGATCACGTTGTATGGCATTAAAGAGATGGAGATATATTAAACTGATGGTGAAGACGCTAATTTGTCTCAAAAGAGTATATAACATCTTTCGAAATCCTACTTGTAAAATATAAGTAATTTTATTCACGAACTCAAGTGGTTTTGTATTTACCTATAATGATGTAGACTCAATGGTGTAATTTTTGTTTTTAAAACTTCTGTTATAATGGTTTTACAGTCCAACAATAGTGAAGTTTACTTGATGAATCACTTGTATCTTACCGTTCTTATTTTAGATATGGATTATGATTATATTATCAATTTAGTATATAAAATGGTAGTGATAAAATCATTAAAAACTTGTTATTAGGATTTAAGATGGTTTTTTATTTTTGGCATTTTTGTTTTTCTCTAGAAAAATATCTTTGATTTAAGTTTAGATTAAACTAAAATATTTTTTGTATGTCCAGTACAACCTAGATAAAAGAAATGATAATAATAATTTCAAATTAGATTTGAGGTTTTTCAAAATCATTACTGTAATTATTATCGTTCAGACTTTTTGATGCTACTCTTTAATGATATTGAGTAACTTGTCGACTTGTGTTTCTCAGATCTTTCAAATGTTATTGTCTAGAAAAATCCTTAATAATTGAAGTTTTTCTAATGTTTATAAAGCAACTTTACATTATATGACTTGTTTAGTTTATTGTTCCATTATTATAATAATACAAGTGTAATATGTTGGAGCATTAATTGAAAAAGATTCGTCAGTCTTTACGTACAATCATCGAGTGGTAGAGACAAATTTTCTTGTATAAGTATAGTTTTGTATTTTTTATGTTTTATTAATGTAGAGTACTGAGGTAAAATAATGACAAACTTAGAGTATTATTGTAGGAATTTTTTATTTTATTTCTATGCAAAGGCAGGTACAACATTGTTGTATTTATACAATCAGATTTTATTGGTCGCACATGCACATGTATGGTGAACTGCAGTGTCCTTTCTTAGGTCGACATATATCATCGCAGATATTTTGGTAACATGCTGTCACGAATAAGTTTAATACAGTTTTTGATAATAATGTATGATAAAAATTTTTTTTAACAACTAATTCAGAAGCAGCCATATGTCTGGAAATTTAGTACGTATACAATAAAGTTAAAAAATAATCAATAAAGTTGAGAAAAATACGTTTTTCATTTACCATAATTCTTAGGCATTGGAGTTACCTAAAAAATAAGTTAACTCAATTGGAAATGTGACAACTAGTTGGATCGGTACACTTGTTAAAAACCGCAGTAGATTGTTGAGGTGTATCGTTTAACATGAATAGCTTTTGAAAACCGTATTTGAAGCTATAGAATTTAAGTTTTTGTTTTTTAAAAGCGACAAATTTTTTTCCCTTAATTTTTTTTTTACTTTTCCATGTTGTATTCTAAGCTTCCACAGTAGAAAATTTTAATTAAGTACACGTCTAAATTCATGACATTATTTTTTATAAACATATTAGAAAATAGTGTTTGTTTTTTTTTTGTTTAATATAAAACTTGATCATCAACTTATGTAGCAATTATCATTCAATGAGAGGAGCACAATAAAATTGTTAGTGTTAAATGATGTGATGTTATTCGTAATGGAAGCTTCTGAATGGGTTATTAGACCCTCTTTTATTTTTTTTATAAACTAGGGTTCATACTCCTTTTTTCATATGCCTATACATTAATTGACATATTTTTATTTTAAATACTTACGCCCAGGATATGTACTGTGTTGACCTACGACTGGATTTATAAAAACACACGCCAAAGCAACGATGAGTAGAGCAAAAAAAGTGATGGCTTTCATTTTGAAGGAAATACTTGAGTGTTTCGACAACTGTACTGAAACTCTTGGCTCCAACTTAAATTTTATATACTCCAGGTACTTGATTTTTATACGATTAAAAATGATCATGAGAAATGAATCATAAGCATTACTGTTGTCACAGCTGTGAAAGAAGAAACAAAGGCCAAATGACTCAAACGCTAAACTTTTTCTCATTGTTGTATTTTTTTCAGTCATACAAACAATACATTCCATGATTAAACACAAGCAAAAGTAAATAAAATATAAATAACACTATCGCTTTCTTTTATTGTCAGATATGGGGATATTATTATCTTACCAAAGCACTGGATATCATCACTCCATTGAATAAAATGTAAGATCTCAAGCCATATCAGGAGCGATAAAAATTTAATGAAAAAATTTTTACATTTGAGACATTTAATCATTCTTTTTGTTGCATTACCGATAACTTTCTTTTTAAATTTATCATGCTTTTCACTATCAAGCAATGGCAAAAGTGGAGTCACGTGGGTTGTTGGGATTAAAAAGGGGCCAATGCCTGCCCCCAATTGCTAATCCTACGAATTACAACAACATAGCTACCTTTGTCCACACTTTGATTATAATACAATTTTTCATTGTAATGATAATTTTTATCATCTTTTTTCATGGATAAAAATTATGCAATTTTCATAGTTTTTAATAAAATAATGTTGCCAATTGAGCATAGGTTCTATGATTCGAGCTAATTTGGTAAACATACGAGAAAAAACCGATGATTTCACAGTTGACGAACTTCATGCGTAATTGCCCACTTGGCCCAGATACGTTTT